ATGTTGAATTCACTTTTTTGACGACAATTTTGGGTGTACTGTTTGTTTATGTTGGGGGTGTGGCTTATAGTCCAAAAAATACGGTAATCACTGCAATAAAATAACTGTTTTTGTCACTTTTACAGCGGATTGCATCAACTCTGTTACATCCAGAAGGGAAACTTCACCAAAGTGAAACATAAATCTGTGGATCTGTGTTTGATTACTCTGCCTGGCTTTCTCAAGGACCAGGATGTAACACAAAAATCTGAATTATGGAACTGAAAGTGAAAGTAGTCAAACTGAAGTTTTAATAAACCAAAATACAGTTTTAAAGCAAATTAATTCAGATACAAAACTTTAAATTCAGTTTCAAACCAATGCATTTAATTTCAAATCATGCACATTCAGATTCAGTTCCTGCTGGCACAAGATGTATCCCATATGGGGCTTTCTCAGACCTCACCTTCACCTCCTCTTCGTGAAGCCGTTTCAGCTCCTCCATCTGCTGAATGAAGGCCTGCTTTGCTCGGGTCAGCTGGGACATTAAGGACTCCTTCTCCTCCAGCTGGCGAGCCATCTCCGCTGCATGGTTGGTTTAAAGAAAACATCTCAAACTGCTCTGTGAGAATGTCTAACAGTGTACAGGAGAAGGTCCTCACCGTGTTCGGTGGTCAGTCGAGCTTTCTGACTCGACAGGTCGTTTATGAGTCTCAGATGCTCGTCCTCTTTGCTTTTCACCTCGCTCAGCTGATCTTCAAGTGAATGACACATCTTCTCCAGGTTGACCTGGAGTTGGAGGAACAAATGTGTTACTTCTCTGTCTTGCTGGGTTCTTGAAAACAAACTTGTGAGAACATTGGTGTCAAAAGTTAGGTTTTGTTCAGGATGTGTCTCCAGCCAGAGCAGACCTTGGCCTTGGCCGTGGTTTCCATGTTGCTGGATAAGTCGTCCAGCTCCAGCCTCAGCTCGCTCTTCTCCTTCTCCAGCTTCTGCTTGACCCTCTGGATGTTATCGAGCTGCTCTCCCATCTCCGCCACGCTGTCGGCGTGTTTCTTACGCAGGGCGGCCGACGTTCCCTCGTGCTGCAGGGACAGCTCCTCCAGGTCCCGGCGCAGCTTCTGGAACTCGGCCTCGCGCTTCTTGTTCATCTCTACCTGAGCGGCGGTGGCTCCTCCGGCCTCCTCCAGCCTCTCGGTGATCTCCTCCAGCTCTCTGGACAAGTCGGACCTCTGCTTCTCCACTTTGGCTCGAGATGAGCGCTCAGACTCGATTTCTTCCTCCAGCTCCTCGATTCTGGCCTGGACATCAAACAATAAGGAAACCAGGGTAGACAAGTAATGTGTAACCCATCACATCGAAACGAGGATTACCGTATTTATTGGTGTATAATACGACCTCATGTATAATATGATCTCATGTATAATATGATCTCATGTATAATACGATCTCATGTACATTACGATCTCATGAATAATATGATCTCATGTATAATACGACCCCCACTTTTTTGAGCTTAAAAAGCATAAAAAATTTAATCCTCAAACTACCTCCAATTTCATACAGACTTCAAGATTTTTCAGCCTTTGCAGTCTTTATACATATCAGTAAAATGATCATTGGACAGTTCATTTTATTTTAACAACATATGGACTAAAAGGTAATTTGACAACAAATATACACTCACCGGCCACTTTATTAGGTACACCTG